CGGCTGTCACGGTTTGGTAGGTAAGGCTCAGTTTTGGAACCTGGAAAATCAGAGTGATTCCTTTAAATGCAAGCTGTACAGCAGCATGCAATTAACTTGTCTGTTCCATATGAATACGTTACATATTATTATTACTTTAATTTGACACGCTGATTGATGTGTGACAGTAGACTTATGATGTAAAAATTAGTAAGAATAACATCAAAGTAATATGCTAAGTTATGGAAAGTATATAATTTGGGTATGCATGTAATACATAATGGTAAGTACAAATTTTCTTTAGTACCTGGGGTATATGCTTCAGCTCTAGTGAAAACCCTTGTTCTGCACAGAAACTGCATTTATCAGTCCTCTCTTTCCTCAACCTGTGTGTTTCACGTGGAAAGCCTTGGTATCAGATTTTCTTCTCTAAGTTCGCCTGACTTGTAATTGTCCATCATCCCAGTTTCAAGGAAGTGGAAAGGAGAAGGAAGGAAGAAATGATGCACAGTCTTTTGCTATTTTGTGTTTAATTTCCATGTATGGTCAGATTGGTAACCTAACTGTTGGATTATAACAATTTTCTGGGAGAAAATGCTATTGTACTTTGTACTTACTACATGTTTTTTAACCTCAGTAGTGTTTTGATGGAAATAATGTGAGGAAAACCTGAAGATGTGTTGTCCAGGCATCGCAGCTGTTGTGGTTCTCCCAGCTCCAAGAGCAGATTCCAGGCCGCGTGGCTCCCGGTGCCTGCAGTGTGGCGCTCGCGGCGCCAGGGGACGGGCAGCGCCGCGGCTCGGGCGCGGCAGTCCCGCTCCTGGAGGATATTGTGATGATGCTGAAGAACGAGACGGGGAGCAACCAGCAATATTTTACAGTACTTACTTTACAGAAGCACTTTCACACGTTCTTGTATTCTTTTTCTTCAGCTTCCGTTCCTCCCCTGGCACTGCATTTGATGTAGTAAAGCCTGGGTCCGCTTCTCTTCCCTTTTAGCCCATGTTAAAATGCACGTGATTCTGGGATTTGGGATAAAGTGTGGCGGTGAGGTGCTTCATGCAGTGTCCACTGAGCTACCTTACTTGAAACAAATAGGACGCTTTTGTCATGTCCTCTTCTATTGCAGCAAATTCCATTTCTTTTTATAGTCTTTCTTCAGCTGAGCATTTTGGAAGCTACTTCTGGTTTGCTCTTCTAGACAGAGAAATAGGTGCACAGAATCAGTTATTAGGGGACAACTTCTTATAAAAGTTTCAAGCTATGGTCAGTTTCTCATTTTAGTAAAACTTGTGGAAAATTTCAATACCTCAGTCACATTGAGTTATATCTAGACAATCAATTCAAAGTTAAAGGGTGAGTCGAGGACACTCTGAAAATTCATCATTACATAAACTGAAGAAACCAAGCTAAGAATAGCCCTCAGTGCAGAAGGATCAAGCAGAGCCTCAATTATGTATGCATAAAAGTCTGTCTGTATGAAACCTATTTTGTGACTACTTCATGGTGAATAATGGTAGGAGTAATAGGCAAAAACAGAAGGGCTGATAATGGAAAAAAAAAAGAAAGATTGGTGTCACCTTTATTTTTATATCTTTTCAAAACTGGACTGTTATAGCAGTCAAGGTTGTCAGTGTAATTCTTTATGGCAGGTTGTCTGAAATAAACAAGCTGTAAGCTAACAATTACTGATGTAAAAAAGAAAAACTACACGAACTACATGAGCAATACAGTATTTTTTCTGCTATTAGTGTAAGCTGATCTGAATGCAGGCCATAAACATGCTGTACCTCTAGCAGTTTTTTCTCTTGAATGTATGTAACTCTGTTAATGTACACTGAAGCAGAAGATCAAAACCCACTCAAATGTAGTATTTCAGTATCCTTAATCTGTCTTTCATGTGTGGTTATACGTGTAAGTTTGTGTGAGAAATATTTTTCTAGGATAAAAATTCACAATTTGGAAGTGATAAAAATAGTTAATTTACATTTTGTCTTCATCAAAATAATGCAAACAGTGATAAAACAAATTTGCCCAAACCTGAAATCAACAAGCAACATGAATTTAAGATTTTCTTAGGTAAAGATATTCTAAGCATTGATGCCACAAAGACAATTAATCAGATTATGTTAAGAGCATTTGTATTCAAATTAATTGGCAAGGAACATATTGCCATGGGAAAGAGCAAACTATTCAGACTATCTGCTATCCTCTGTACTGTAGTGAGACTAAAACTAAATTTTATTTCAAAGGTGATACGTGTGTGTCTAATCTACCTCTTGTCTGTCTATCTCATGTTCAGTAAAACAAAAGGGGATGTGATGTGTTACTCACACAATGACTTCTTCCAATGACATGAAGTCTGTGGGTTGAGCCACAGGCAGTAACCCACAGTGCCATAACCAGAACTTGTACAATGCTTCTGTCCCAGTCCTAGCCTGCTTATCCTGCTGCTCTGACAGGAATTTGAGTGATTTCTCCCCCATGCAGTCTAGAATATGTATTTGTTATGCTCAGGGCAATATAAGTACTATAGAAATGTGTCATTTCTTTGCTATATGGAGTTCATGCATTGTCTTTATAGAGCCTTCTACACTGTACAATAGAGGTGACTGTTCTTGGAATGATGATGGACAGCAAACTGGTACATTAGGACAGGGATAGCCTTTCTGGAGCTAAAATAAGCTGTTAGTCACTGTCATTGTTGTGCAGGTGCAGCTAAGAGATAAATAGGGTTTCCACCACTTTGATGGATAGGGCTTCATAGCTCCTGCAATTTGGCAAAGGAGGTTGGGTAAACAGTACTACTATTCTTCCTCTTTTTTTCCCAGTTTTGTTATCTAAGCAGGGCTAGAAGAGTAACTGAGAGCAGGGCTGCTTTCTTCCGTGTGGTGGTAGAGAACCCTTGCGCCAGTGAAGAGATTTTAACCAAAGTAACTTTGGGTTTGTCCATCTTTTGCTGGATAATAATAAGATGTACTAACTTCAGTGTGGTACCAGAATGTATCCTTTAAGCAGCAGACTGTGTTTTAAAGAAAATCTGTCCCTTGTAAAAGAAACTGGTTTGGTAAAAAAAAAAAAATCAGATGGAAACTTCAATTTTAGCTGAAAGTGCAGCAGCAAATTTAGTGGAAGAGTTGAGACAGTTGCTGTTCCAGCAGTGAGACTGAGTGGTAGCAAGCATATGCTACAAGTAGGATAATGGCAACGGTGGGAGATGGCTGTGTCTGAATTGGAGATGCATTTGAAAATGTTGTGGTTTTGAAATGAATCTTCTAAGCAGCTGTTAAATAAAAAAAAAAAAAAAAAAAAAAAAAAATAAGCCTCTGACAAATCTCTTACTTAAAATTAAAGCTCATTGGATTCATAACATTATAACTAGTAAAAATATTATTCTTGACACACCTGTGTGCCATTTGTTATTTTGACACATTCTTTTAGCATCTCTCTATATACGTGTACACTTTGTGTCACCTTTTCATTTATGCAGGTATCTGCCTATCTTCAGGCTTGAGATTTTGTCTTGCAGAATTTGGAATTTAATGGTGTTACAATGCCTTTTTAAAATGCCCAAAAAGACTGAAATCAGTCTTTCAGAGCTGACTGCTGACCTAAGGAAGAAAAAAGAAGCTATATCTTGTTTAGACTGGCCGCAAACGTCAGGGTTACCTGCAGTTATTCGGGTAAGGGAGTGGAGTTTCTGGTAAATATAGCGGGTGTTGTTTTCTGGGGATTGGGTGAAGAAGCCTACTGGCGGATGTTACAATGCCTTTTTAAAATGTCCAAAATACTGAAATCAGTCTTTCAGAGCTGACTGCTGACCTAAGGAAGAAAAAAGAAGCTATATCTTGTTTAGACTGGCCGCAAACGTCAGGGTTACCTGCAGTTATTCGGGTAAGGGAGTGGAGTTTCTGGTAAATATAGCGGGTGTTGTTTTCTGGGGATTGGGTGAAGAAGCCTACTGGCGGACAGTGTAGAAACAGCAGATGAGGTTTCTAGGCTTTTCAGTTTCCCACGGATCTAAAGGCTTTGGTTAACCTCAATTTCCAAAACTGGCTGTTTTGTTTTTAGCACCGCCCTTGAGAAAACTCCCATCCAGAGGAAGACCCCGGCGCCTGGCCTTTATGACTCGTAGGACTTCTGGCTCCGCAGACCGACCCCTTCGGCCAGGACAGGGCTTGAAGCCTGCGAAGCGCCCTTGGAGCGCGGCCACCGCCCCCCGCGGTGTGTCCGTGCGGGCGCGGTCGGGGGCGCGGGGCGGCTCCGGGGACCTGCCCGGCCGCCCCGGGAGCTGCTGCCGGGCACCCGCGGTGGGCTCTGCTGCTGCCGCTACCCAGCCGTGCCGCCGAGATGGCTTTCGCGGCTTCGAACCTCATTTATTTCCTCCATCTCAGGGTCTTGGGTGAATTACTGGAATGTTCCAGGCTGTCTCTATACATTAATTTGTGTAGCCTTTGGTTGTCAGGATTGCGAAGTGCTGCCGGGTTCCAAAGCTGTGTCAGCAATTGATTTTTTTCTCTTTAATCAGTGCAATGGACTTTCCTCTCTGTCCTTCATCATGCAGTGCTTCAGAGTTGGTTTACGGGTGGAGTGGCGTACTTGTATCTTGGGTGATGTGTGTGCAGTATCGTGGTGCTAAAGGATGTAGTAACTGTTCATCCCCTAGGTGATGAAATGAGATGATGAACACTTCGACTCAGTAGCAGGCTTTTAGCATGTGTTTACATTACATGGTACAATTACTCTTCTACCGTTAGGTAGTCGTACATTTCTTGTATTAATGCACAGTGATGGACTTTTAAGATGGGTAGGTGCCCATTAATCGATTATGGTTTGCTTAAAATGCTGTGACCCAGCCTAAGGGCCTGTGTTTGTGTGATACTTAAAATGTGTGTTGATGAACTCTGCCAGCATATTGTATCAGCCAGTGTTTACACAGTATGGAAATAATAATTTCCTGATATTGTTCCATCTGACACTTATGTGTATACACACAGACTTTCAGAAAATTAATGGAGAAGGCAGTAGGAAATGCCAAGAATATAAGTATGCGTGAATATATACTTTCTGAATGAAAATTACTTTATCAGGAATATATTTTTAAATGTAAACCATGATAAAAAATATGTAAGTTGCAGTGCATTTTAGACTGCCTTCTCTTTCATCTTTTTGTCTGGAAAATGTCCATAAATATACACAAAATATTTTAAGAACCTAAATAGTCAAGTAATGTTGATCCTTTGAAGAGTTGTATTGAAGTAGATGCTTGTAGCCAAAATGCTGTCTGGTGGCTTTCTGTTTTTTGTTTGGTTGTTTGGTTTTTTTTATTTTTTTTAAAGTAGTGGATCAAAATCTTGGGCTTGGAGGGAAATTCTGTGTCTTTTTATTTTTTTTCCTTGTTGCGTATTATGTTATGGAAGAGAAATACTTCTGGAACACCTGATTTGTCCAAGTTGTTTATGAGGCAGTCTCTGGGTTTCATTCCTTGGCTTTGCCCAATGCCCTGTTCTCACTGCAGCAGTAGCCACACTCACATTTGGATGTGTCACATCTGCTGCTGAAATGGTAAGTGATTCCCTTTGGAGATGAAGTGAGTTAGAATTGATTGGAGCTGTCCTTGTCTTATTTGGAATATGGCTTTGTTGCTTTGTGTATCCATGATTTTGAAAGAGAAGGTTGAAATTGATTAGAGGCTGGCTCTAGTGGATATTTGGCTACCTTAAGCTCCTGACTTCAGGGGACAGCTTGCAAATATCTTTGTTAGAGAATAAGCCTCTGTATCCAAACAGAAGTGAATTCACTTGAGAATTATTTGCATTGGAGGATAACAAGTTTTTGGAAAGATAATTTAAAAAATTGTGGTGATCCTGTGGCTAGTTACTGCAGCCAGAGTGACACTCTGCAGTCACCCATTTGGGTGGGTGTTTCAAAGGTGAGAACGTAGTGTGAGTCTCTGCAGTGAGATCTGACACAAGAAATTGCTGTTCTAGGCAGCTGGAGCTGCTCACAAACAATAATTATGGAAATGAAGGACAAAGGGACTCAATTTCCCTTTGCTATCCAATAGGCATGAAAGGAAAGCTGGAACATGACCAATGCTGAGACAAATGGTAAAGCTCTCTGTCCAGCACCTGGCTTGTGCCCTCTGTGTCTCAGCAGGTGCCCAGTTCAGCAGCAGGCAGTCGTGGTCCTTGGCTCATCTGAGAAGAAATTCAGTGTCATCACCCAAAAAGCAGCTGACTGACAAACCTCTTCCTCATCATGATCAATAAGCCAAAATAGTCAAAGGCTTTATAGGTGTAGCTTTTGTTTTAGTGAGGTATCCACCTGCTGGTGGAGTTATTGATGGTAGGGTTGGCTGCCTGCCACAAAGTTGATGGCTTCTCACTCCTTCTTGTGAGTGATCACAAGAGGAAAGAAGAAGAAAATGTCCAAGTCATGTTGCCGACACTTTCTGCTGTGAGTTTGTCCTGGGGGTTAAGATTGCTTTCCCAAAAAGAGGAAATGTAATGCTACATTTGATGAGTGAAGTCAGCAGTAAGAGCGCTCACTCAAATGACCTCCTTTGACTAAGAAAGAAAGCAGAGTAGGAGAAACAAGTCTTCAGTTCTTTTTTCCTTCTCCTTCTTTTTTTTCCCCTTTAAAAATCTTATTCCGTTGTCATTTTTCCCTAGCCAGATTTATGAAACAATGAGTTAGTGACAAAATTCACAGCAGGCTAGAGGATTATATTTCCCTCCCCAAACAAAATGTTTCAGACAGATATATTAAACACATACAGAGGGGTATTTTCTTTTTCTTCCTGCTTTTCTTTGCAATTTTTTCTCTTTAAAAATCTTATTCCGTTGTCATTTTTCCCTAGCCAGATTTATGAAACAATGAGTTAGTGACAAAATTCACAGCAGGCTAGAGGAATTATATTTCCCTCCCCAAACAAAATGTTTCAGACAGATATATTAAACACATACAGAGGGGTATTTTCTTTTTCTTCCTGCTTTTCTTTGCAAACCCTTCTACTGTAGGTGGAAAGCTGTATGTCTTTATTCCTGGTCAAAATGTCAGGTGGGTGTGAGTGGTTGTGCTGGTGCTGGAAGTTGTATGTTGGGAACTGTTTGTTGAGTTTTGGAGTGGGCAGCACTCTGCAGCCTTGCATGGGATCGTGGCTGTGTATCTGCAGTGTCTCCCCAGCTTGCCTGCAAGGGCAGAGTGCAGGGAGGCTTCAGGGAGTCTGCTGGTGCTTCCCTCTGGGTTGCAGTGCAGAACGTTGTACTAAGTGCCTACAACCAGGTGCACTGCTTTGCTCTTGCACTGCTTTGCTCTTGCACCTGCGCTGCTCCCAGTCTCTGACCAAGCTGGGAGAAAGGGTACCAATATTTCAGCTCAGTGCCATATAGCATCCTCCTGACCTCCCTGTACTTACCTGAGAATTCATGACTTGTTCATGGAACCACAGTTCATCCTCCGAGAAGACTTCTGGATTAGGCTTGAATTTGTCAATGTGTAGAGTACTCATCATAATCACAGTAAGCCTTTCTGATTGCTATTTATCATAAGAGGTGAACTGCTTTCAGTTGCATGCCTCAGATTCCTGGTGCTGTGTGGTCCAATGCCCCTATAAGAGCTAGGTGAAGCTGTTCCCTGCTCAGTCATTCTTTGCCCTGTAGTACTCCTGAGCTGTAATTAAGCATGTGGCCTTCTCTTTGGTATGCTGTGTGTAGAGCCCACCAAGGTGCCATTTCTTCCCCGTTGCTGCTTTTCTTATGGCTACTCTGTGTGTTTTTTCGGGGTTTTTTTCAACATCCTTCGTGAAATGTGGGGTTGTATGAGTACCCATGTTTAAGTAATGATAATATGAAACTGATTTACAGGAACAGAAAACAGGCAAGTTTAGCAGGGAAATGATGTTTGTTTATACAGGCAGGATATATGTTTATCTTCTGGTTACAATGTCAAAATAATACTGTTTATATTTTTTTTGTGTTTGCTTTAGGATTTAAAAGCTTTTTGTTAGTATTATTTCTAGAAAGGAAATTTTCTTACTTTACTCTCATGCTGATTTTGGGATCTTCTCATAGTGTTTCTGAAGATAACTGAGGGCCATTTCCTCAGAATCTAAGACATTGCAGGCAAGGATCAGTTCCAGTGCACCAGACAGAGGAAATCACATCTTTGTTTTAGAGAAGTTCACAGTGAGAGCTGTTGCTTCCTTGAACTTAGCCTTATCTTAAGAAAAGGTAATGTATTCCCTGACTCATTTTTTTCAAGTAAATTTAACCTTTTCTAGCAGCACTCTCTCTGTCTGATGTTACTCCAGTCTATTTTTTCTGCTTTCTGCCCCACATGCCATCTGTCTTATTTTGCAGTTTGTTTTCTTTTTAAGTATACTAAGGTAATGCAGCGGATAAAAAAGTATGAATATTCACAAAACATCACTGCCATTTTGATTCAGAGGGGAAGAGTGTGGATGGCTTTCTGCCAGATCAGGTGATGCTGTGATTGCAGAAAATCCTTGGGCCTGCCTAGGTTGTTCCTTTGGAGGAGATGCTGTGTGGAACGACTTGATGTTGTCAGTGGCTTGGCACTGCTTCTGTGCTGTGTCAGTAGGCTTTTGCAGTAGTTAACTGTCTTGTGCCTAAGTAGTGCCCCAGTCTGGTGGCAAGGGCTTCATTTTACTCTCAACTTCAGAAGTATCATTTTTAGAATGCTTTTTAAGCAGCTGTAGTGATGCCAAAGACATGGGTACTTGTGATAAAGCTGGGTTTAGTCTGTATGCAGATTTTTGGTAGCTGCAGCAAACTCAGCAAAACTTTGTAGGCTAGAGAGTGTCTTGAGTTCTTCCTTCATACTTCCTCACAAAGGTTCAGATAATTCAGGAAAGCATTGAAGTCTATAATAATTTTACACATGAAGATTTTTTGCATGATATTTAGAATTTATATTAAAAAGAAATTATTATCTTATATAAGCAGTATTTGACATTTTGTACTCCCTTTTCCCATCCTGGTTGCTGATCAAGCCTTTTGTAGTGAAGCTGCTGAAGACTCCTAAAATAGGAGATGTGGTAATCTGTTGGGCTGCAGTAATCCATGACATAAAATCTGGTCTGTACCTTCTGTCCCAACTCCAAAAACTTCTGAAATGCAGGTATTGTGGGGTAGCTATGTGGTGTAAGTGGTGATATTTTGATGACAATAGGTGAAGAACCAATGAAATGAAACTTTTACTTTGTTACAAGTAAACTTTGGAACAGTGTGCTGAAATGTAGCCAGGTATGTGGTGACAGATTGACTTTGCCTCCTGTGAGCCAGTCACTTGTGCAGATCTGGCCCAAATGATTAACAGCTGATGAACATGAAAGTCCTCTTGCCACCCAAATATGTGGGGTCGAGTCACGAGCAGGCTGGGTCATTGTCAGGCCACTTAGGAAACAAATGGAGAACCACAAAGGAATGACAAGGGTGGCTTTCTGCCAGTGCCATGAGTTGTTCTCCAGTCCCCATGGTTAGGTATCCACTGAAGAAATTTCATTTGATTTACAGGTAATTTGGTTTTGTACTGTGGTATTGGGTGTTTTTTTTAGTGTGTGGTGCTGGGCAGTATTGGCTAGGTGAACCTTGTAAGCTAGAGTGAATAAAGGGTGACATCTGCATTTGTGTCCTGCTACAGTCATACTTACAGGATGGAAAGGAAAAACTGCTTTGTTGGGCTTGTGCTGATGTGGTTGCTCACATCACACCACACCTCATCAAATGTCCATATGTTTCCTTTTATCAGGAATTCTTAGTTCCTTAAAAAGGGTCTCTGCTGCTAACTGATCCCTCAGTGGTCAAATTTTTAAGTGGGTTGTTTGTTTTGAAAACTGGATTCTGTTTGTAGTGCATCATTTCTGTTAGTACAAGTAACACACTGGTTGTCATGAAAAGAGATTAAGAAGATGAAAGTTGGTTTTCTTTTCTCCTGCACTGTTGACACTGTGCACCTGACCCTATTGTGTGAGAAGGAAGTTCAGTGTTTTGTCAACTAGTCATGTCCTTTTCTAAGCCCTGCTCTGGTGGTTCCCAGCCCCAGGCTGAGCCTGGCATATAATGGGCAGATTTTAGAGTTAGGGGACTAGAGACTGATTTTGAAACCAAAATGGTACAGCAAAACCAAGAAATAATGAATCTTCTACAGGGAGTTTGGAAAGAGCGAGGAATGTGAGCCCTAGGGATGAACCAGACCTTACCCACTGCCTGGTATTGGAGGATTCTCCTGGCCTCTGTGGGTGGTGAGCTGTGGGATAACACTGCATCCAGGAGAGCAGCTCCTAGCCCTTCTGCTCAACCATGAACACAATTTAAGTTAAGTTTACAAGCAGGGCAGGTGCATTTGTTTCTTTGTTTTCCTCCAGGGAAGGAGATTTAGACTCAGACCTGGCAGAGCGGAGCGATGCTGCTCCTTGCAGAGTGGCACCTTCCTTCATTAAGAGTGAGCCACAATTGAAGGGTGCTGTGGGTAGTGTGTGCAAATTCAAGCAGAAGGCCAAGGAGGTTTGCAAAAGGAAAGGTGGTGCAGCTGAAGGAGCC